ATTACTATAACAAAAATACTGGAGGCAAATTACTTAAAAATAGAAAAGGTTTATTTAACACACAGTTCTGAAAGTTCCAGTCCAATACCAGGTGGCCCGATTGATTTGGACCCTTGAAGAGGGATGGGTGGCAATGGTTGGGAGCACATGTCAGAGAAAACTGCTCATGTCATGAGTCAGGAAGCAAAGGAACCAGAATCCCCAAATTCCCTTTGAAGGTACAACTTCAAGATCTCTAGATAGGGTCTTCTCACTTGGTCCCACCTCCAAAAGGTCCACATTACTTCCCAATAGCGCCACCTGGGGACAAAACCTTTAACACAAGGACTTTTGGAGAACACTATCTATATTCAAACCATACACTGTGTTTTTGGGTGTTGCTATGGGTAGTGATAAGGGGATGTTTTGGTTAGGGAAACCCAGGTATGGCTGCAGGAGACCGGCTGTGATTGTGGGGGTCTACCTCCTACCATAGCCTACTCATGTCTCTGCTTCATAGGCAGGCACCTGAGTCAGCTACATAGCTTACAAGGCTAGAGCAGGGTCTTCCCAGGAAGACTGTGAGCCAGGAAGACTGTAACCAGCACTGTGCTGTCTCTGCACATTGCATTGTGCATCTCTACAGCATACCTGAGGAGGCAGAGGCTTTGTGAAGTTTAATGACTTCACTAAGTCAGCCACAGAGCACCCTGTCTAGACACACACACACACACACACACACACACACACACACACATTTCAGAACATGAGCACTTTCTAAAGTGCTTTGGGTTTCTGGTACTATGGTTGAAATGTGTCCCTTACAAATTCAGGTATTCAGTACAAATTCAGGTATTCAAACATAATGGCCAATGTGATAGTATTAAGAGATGAGCCATCAGGTCATGAGGGGTCCTCCTTCATGAATGGGATTAAGACCCTTGTGAAAGAGGCATCACCTAGAAGTGTGCAGCTTGCTTGCCCTCCTGCCTCTTGCTAGGTGAGGACACAGCAACCAGGTGCCATCTTGTAATCAGAAAGTGGCCCCCACCAGAGACCAAACCTGCCCTGCGTTGACTTGGACTCAATAGCTTCCAGAACTGTGAGCAAATAAATTCATGTTCTTAATAAGTTACCCAATCTCAAACACTTTGTTATAGCAGCACAAATGAATCCAAACAGATGGCAAATAATGACTTAAAAAAATTTATGGCAGTCCACAGAATGAGGAATTAATGACAGATACACACTTACCCTCACTTTTTTTTCTTTTGGGGTACCAGGGATTGAACCAGGGGCACTCAACCACTGAGCCACATCCCCAGCCCTATTTTGTATTTTATTTAGAGACAGGGTCTCACTGAGTTGCTTAGTGCCTTGCCATTGCTGAGGTGATCCTCCTGCCTCAGCCTCCTGAGCCACTGGTATTACCCTCACTTTTTTTTTTTATTTAGTTGTAAATGGACATAATACCTTTATTTTGTTTATTTAGGGTTTTTTTTTTTAATGTGCTGTTTGGGATCAAACCTAGTGCTAGGCAAATAAATTCTCTACCGCTGAGCCACAACCCCAACCCTACCCTCACTTTTATAACAGTGTGTGGTGACAAAATTTTGACAACTGAAATATTATATAGAAGGTCATTATTGCCCCAAATCTTTCCATGTCTGTAGAATGCATTTAAGTAACCTGATGGAGAAAAAAAAATCAATGTTTAAAATCAAATTTGGAGACTCTAGATTGCATAATTATAAACAGGTTTGCTTACCCCAGGACTCTCAGAACTCTGAATATGCTTTTGCAGGCTGGGAGTATCCAAAAGGCAGTGTTCCCGAATGTACTTGACTACGGAGCCTCTTCCCTTCCCATATACCTACATGGTACATTCATGGGATCAGTATTTGCGAAACGTGGGAATGCTCTGACCTAAGTTCCAGCAAGACTAACACAGTTCTTTCATATTTCACCCTGTTTAGAAGAGATTGCATTCATGTCTCTATGTTGGGAGTCATACAGATGAAGAGAACAGGTTTTTTTGTACTCTGACAATTCTGCACCCGAGCCATTAGGTCTAAGTGAAAACCTGAAGCAAATAAAATTGAAGCTACAAAGTGTTCATCAGGGGAAATTAGCTACTTGGTGAATACTCAGTGCATCCCGGGGAGCGATGGTGATTAGGAAGCTGTGAAAACACCTGCCCAAATCATGTGTGTGAACAATTCTCACGTTTGCAACCTGCCTGGAAAGCAGAGATGTCTCTTCTAATCACAGACTCAATAGCACATTGACCACCCCACAGGGACACCTGGGCCACGTGGCAGGGGCAGTGAATCCAAGTCCCTGCTCCTCTTGTGCTCCCTGCAGATGCCCAGCTCCCTGATCTGAGAGCAGAATGAAAGGAGCCATGTGGCCTCCAGGAGCCTGGGCAGTGATCTCCACGCAGTATTCTCCTCCAAGGTCTTGGGTGAACTTTTGGATTGAAAGCAGAAATTCCTTCTTTGTGCCCCTGATTTACCTAGACAATCTTTTAAAAAATTATATTTATTTTTAAATTGTAGGTGGATACAATATCTTTATTTTTATGTGGTGCTGCGGATCGAACCCAGTGCCTCACACGTGCTAGGTGAGCCCTCTACCTCTGAGCCACCCCTCCAGCCCTACCTAGACAATCCATTTGGGTTCTGGAATTTTCAAAATTGTTCCTGGACAAGTGACTCCGTTGTCTCTCTGTCATCCATACCATCCTTCCAGAAGGACTAAGCTCCCCTTCACCACTTTTAAATCATTGACTCCAAGAACCACCTTTAAGTGATGTTTTCCCAGACGTCTGATTTTTCCCTGTTTTATTCACTTTCACTTTCATCATTCATTTTTGTCCCTTGTCTGACACTTTAATGCCAATATTTATTAAACACCCCTGACTTTGCTCATCATCATCTAGTAATTTTCTCCATTTCCAATTGCTTTTAATACATGTGGGGAATATCGTCTCATTTCAGATTTTATCCAGAAAAACACCCCAACATGTGAAGACCTACATTCTGAATACATGGCATGTGTGAGGAATTTTTGTATATCAAATATGTCTATATTAAACAGAGCATTTAGTGGGGTTATCAAGGGCCCAACTTTCAAGGCAGCCTCTCTGGGCATGAAGATCTTGTTAGCTATGACAAGCTACGTCTTTATGTGCCTTATTTTCCCATCTGAGGAAAATAATTCTACCTCTCCCATTTGGCTATTAATAAAGGATTAATTGAATTAACACATCTAAAAGGCTTATAATAGCACTTACAAACATGGTAAGCAGTGGCTATTATTATTTCCACCATTACAATAAAAGCATCTTAGCATAAAGTGGGAGGAATGTTGTTGAAGTTTTGTTTTTATTTTTTTTTTCTTGTCTCTTTAAGGTCCACATTATGTAAAGGATCATTTACCTAAAGTTCATCAGCACACTTCCTATATAGGAGAAAAGCGTCCAGTGTTAGAAAAAACGGGAGATCTTAAGTATTTATGGAGGCCTGCCTCAAACAGAAGCTGGCCAGCAAAATATAAACATGAGTATGTCGGTGGAGTTGGTTGGGGAATACAAGACTTTGATTTCATCAACAAATCCAGACGAGAGAGCGGCTTTCATATCAAGGTACTGCCCTTAGATTTATGCTCTTCCTAGCGTATTGTTTTGTGACTTCAGTTCTTTCTGGGTTTGCTTCCACAGGCTATTTCAGGTACTTGATCTCTTATGGAAAAAATAATGGGATTCTAGTTTTGCAGAAACATAAATTGTTTGAATAAATGTTCTTGCTACCGCAACGCCCCCTTAGCCCTTTTAATGCAAGAGAGGGGAGGTGTGAAGAAAATGAAGTGATGGATGATCCCAAAGCATTTGGACCTGGTTTGGGGATGCATTCTGAGTCACATGGATGCGGAGGCATTCGCACACTCTTCTCCTATCCCAGCACTGTTCTGTGAGTGGGTGGTGTCAAGGAAGGAAAACGTGTTGGACATAATCCACAGAGCCCAAACAGGAGTCTCAGATCTTTGGAAGCCACTGAATTGCACACGCCTGTGTGTCAGTAATTCGGGGTATGCAGTCAAATGAGATTTAGAAACCTTGTCTGATTTCCTTTAGGTGATGTGGACTCAGGCATGTGCCCACCGTCTCCTCTGGGAATGGAAGGGAATGTAAATGATTTTGGAACCAGAATCTGAGAATTCAGGTATCTATTTCTAGGTAGGCCTGTTGCATTGTCTGAAAACTGAATGTGCCAGTTATGCAATAACCAGAGTTCTTAAAATTCTTAAGGCAATGTAGTGCAGTCCCACATGGTGAAAAGAAAGAAAGATGGACCTTTGAATAGCCCAAGTTTGTCTATGCAGGAGAATAGTTTGGAACTCAGTCTTGGAAATTGGAAACTCAGATTTGGGTCTATCTCTGTGACTTTGGGCAAATGACTTCACCTTTCTGCATTCCTGTTCCCTGCTCTGCACCTGGCAGTACTGGCAGCGGGAGGCCCACGTCACAGAATCACCTGAATTCCTATCCTGGTTCTACCAATTCCTGGCTGTGTATGGCCTTGGTTAAGTTCTGCTGTGGTTCTGTTTCTTCATTAGGAAATCTTTTTAACCTTTGCTTGTTTATTTATTTGTTTATTTGATGCTAAGGCTTGAACCCGGTGCCTCACACGTGCTAGGCAAGTGCTCTACTACTGAGCTACAACCCCGGCCTCCCATTATGAAATCTTAATATCTACCTTAATGGGCTGTCATTGGCACTAAACAGGTTGATCTTGTGAGGTGCCAGGAATAGTGCCTGGCATGTAAGAAGCTCTATATGTATTTAATATTATTATGTTGCAAAGATGAAATATGAGAACACAGAAATGCACTAAGCCTGATGTCCGACCAATGGTTGCTATCTAAATTTTAGCTATTTGTATTAATTCTTGTGTTTCTTTTCATTTTTAGTTTGTTTTGTTTTGTTTCTGTTTTATGTTGCCTAGGCTGGTCCTGCACTCAGGTGATCCTCCTGAGTAGTTAGAAGGACTGGTCTGAGCCACTGTGCCAGAGTTGTGTTTAATGTTACTCAGTATCATTGAAACAGAATGAATGCCCTGAAACGTAATGTTAAACTTTATGCTATTCCACTTAGGCAAAAATGAAGTTCTGAAATTTGATTAAATATCAAACTGGCCACCAGCGAGGAAAGTACAACCCCAAAGCAAAGCAGTCAGTTCTAAGAGATCCCAAACTCTGGTTGCCTGGTTGCTTCCCTTTGGTTGGGGATGTCCTGCTTACACACAGTCTGCAACCTGTCTGGCCATCTGAGCATGTATGACCTCTCCTCCTTCTTAATCTTTAACTTAAGGACCCATTTTTCTGCTCAAAAGAAGTGCAACCAAATATTCCTTAGTTTTTAAAGCAAGTTGAGAATCTAAAAGAGATGGTCACTGGAAGTTAGCTTTCCAAGAAGGTATTTATTCAGTTTCTCTTGTTAGTGTTTCAGACTGCATTTAATGGGGCTTGGTAACAGTATCCTCTTGATCTCTGTGGCTGTTAGTGTGAGCCATGCAGGGATTTTCTTTCCCAACTTTTCACACACTCAGAAACTGGACTTGTTTGGCATGTAGTATAAGATGATCCCAAGTGTGCTGAGCATCTACACACTTTCTCAGTCCTGGCACTTTAACATTAATTATTTCCAAGGATCTATCTGTCTCAGATAACAAGCTTGAAGAATTCCTTGGAGGGCTGGGGATGTGGCTCAAGCGGTTGCGAGCTCGCCTGGCATGTGTGCGGCCCGGGTTTGATCCTCAGCACCACATACAAACAAAGATGTTGTGTCCGCCAAGAACTGAAAAATAAATATTGAAAAATTCTCTTTCTCTCTCTCTCAAAAAAAAAATTCCTTGGATATAGAGCTTTGTAATGAGAACAAAATTATTCTAAGAATGACCATGAATATAGTCACTTAGAATGACTATTCATATTAGCAAAGAACCATCTGCGATTTAACTACCGGTTAAAACTGGTTTTGTCCCTGAGAATGCTAATCTTCTGCATATCTAAGGTGAGCTTCCTTCCCTCTGTTGCTATCCAAGGAAAATCACAATACCATTCTTTGAGTCTAGACTCAGATTTCGATTCCTTATCAACCCACAGCTTCAGGCAGCTACTTCCAACCAATCAGACCTGGTGCATGATTGACACGTGAACTGACACACACATATACACACCACACATGGCAAATGCACTCCCACATACACACAAGCTGTCAGAGTAGTGGTCTTAACCTAGGTTAGCCTCACTGCGGAGCCAATCAGTTCTCCAGTGTGGTGCCACTTAGGAAATGTCCCAGTCCACTTCTAGTTCTTTCTCCAGTACCTCACCTTTCTGTAATCTCTACATCCCTCACTCTTCCTGGTCCCATCATAATGCAAATTAAAAATGGTCAATTCTTGTTTTGATCTGACTTCAGACACTTCTCAGTGTCTCTCATTTTGTGCTCAGACCTTCATCTACTGGATTTTATAGCTCTAACAGCTGCTTTTCTTAATTTATTGCTGCAGGTCTAAGATAGGCAGCAAAGGAAGCTCAGCCCCACCTTCAATAAACTCCAGGTTAAAATGTCTTGGGCAGCTGCCCCCTACCTGGGAACTGTCTCTCCTATTTGGGGCAGGAGGAGGGTTTCTATAGATCATCTGGCTTTTGGCAGGAAGATAATAACTTCCATGCTGAGTGACATCTGGAAAATTCCTCCCACATTTTAGAGGTCAGTAAAAAACCACAAGATTGGATTTCTCTTCTGGGTTTTTTTTTTTTTTTTTTTTTTTTTTTTTTTTTTTTTTTTTTTTTGTGTGTGTGTGTGTGTTTAGCTATTTCTTTCTCACTTTATGTGGTTATGATGCCATAATAATGCATGTGTGTATTACTGAGGAACCATTATTTTTGTTATTATTTCAGATTTAAGAGCAGCAGATTCCTTTTGTTTAAATGGATCTGGTTTCTGCCAAACTATACACGTTGTCTCCACAAGAATCTAGGAGTTCAACCTGCCTCCTCCTGGCTGGTGTGCTTCTGCTCCCCTGGCTTTTCTTCAACCCAAACCTCAAAAGAGTCAGCAGCTTCCTTGATGGCTGTTTTCTGCTCCTGCATTCTGGCCTCTTGACAAAATGATTTAAGTAATTTGCGTTTCCCACAGAAATGATGTCACACTGCTCTCAAGTACTAACTCTTCATTGATGTGATCCCAAAGACAACATTAAATCAATTAATCTTAACATATATCACAACCAATTCATTGCACATTATGGTAACTTTTAAAAAATCCCAAGAGAACCAGGAAAATCCATCAACATATTCATATGTGACATAGTAACTAAAAAATTTGAGGTTTTGTTATTTCTGCTTCATTTTTTTTTAATATTTATTTTTTAGTTGTAGGTGGACACAATACCTTTATTTTCCTTTTATGTGGTGCTGAAGTTCAAACCCAGTGCCTCACACATCTAGGTGAGCCTTCTACCTCTGAGCCACAACCCCAGCCCTCTGCTTCATTTTTAACTGCACCAAATTCCACTATCATGAGCCAGGAGGGCTTCTTTGGGACAGTTTTATGGACATTTGAACAGATTTCTGATGAGCTATTGAATTTCTTGAAGGCCAGTAGGATAAGCTCATTCAATATTTGTCGGTTTATTAGACTTTTTCCTCATGATAGATTTACTTAGAGGATACATATATGAAAACAGCTACAAGTAACTGGGTATTTAATAAGGAATTATCTTTACAGGTAGGAAACTGAGATATGGACAGGTAAAATTTTTGCCTGAGGCCACACAGCTAGTTAATGATATAGCCCAGATTTCAGCCCAGGACATGGAATTCAAGGAAGTACATGATGTAATAAATGAAACAACAGACAAAGGTCCAAACATTAGATTGGAACTGCTGGGTAGCATGCTCATGTCTGTTGTCAATTTTCCATAAAGTGAGGTGGTATCTGACTAGGTCAATTCTAGTTGTCTTCTCTGGTAAGGAATGTCTTACCAGCACTTCATGGTGCTCTTAGTTTTCTCCCAGTTTCCCACTCTCCCTTGTTTGCACACAGTATACTTCATTTATAATATTAAAACAAATTGTACCACTCATATATTTGATGGTCAAATAGCTTGGTAATAGCTATTTTTGAATTTTTTACTTAATAAGTATTTTATAACCCTTTAAAAAATATCAAATATAACCATTAGTATTTTACAGGGAGGTGGGAGTGGGACAAGAGAGATGATAGTAAAGTCTCACCAAGCCAAAACCTTTTTTCCTTGTCCCACTTATGCAGTACCAAAATGTCCTTCCCTTTTTTAAGTTCACCTGGTGGGGGTGGGGGAAGCATTAACAGTGTGGAGTTGCTAAGTATATAGAATACCCAAAAACACATTTCAGAATTTCTGGGTTTCTTTTCTACCCCCCCCCAAATTTTCATTTACCTTTGGCTCATTTAGAATAATTATAAAAACAGCTACATTGTTGAATCTCATTAAAAATCCTAATTTCCAAGATGTTGTTATCAATATAGAAGATTTGAAAAGATAATAATGCTTCTCCATTCTAACCAAGTTATCTAAGCAAAATAGAAAATAGCTT